TGGGCTCCGGCGATCCTTCCGCCTCAGCCTTCCAAGGAGCTGGAACTACAGGCGCGCGCAGAGAGACATTTCAAGGCCTTCCATATGTCACACGAGGCCGGGGGTGGAGGAACCGGGGATGTGTACCAGGCGAGACAAAGAAAACCTCGGCCACGTGCAGCGGCTCAGGCCTCGAATCCCAGCACTGTGGAGGCTGAGGCAGGAGTTTCCCTTGAGCCCGGGGCGTTCAAGGTCAGACAACCTAGCAAGCCCTCATCTCTACCAAAAAATCAAAAATCAAAAAATGAGCCGTGAGCGTGCCACTGCACTGCAGTCTGGGCGACAGAGGGAGAACCCCCCCCCCAAAAAAATCAGAGCTTCAAATAAACACAAACCACTAAGCGCTTCAAGACGGCAACAGCAGCACCGACCCAAGTGCACGGCGCCAGGCCCGTCCACCCACAGCCCGCACGTCTCTGGAGCTGGCCCGGTGTCCGGCTCTCCTTTCCCTCCACGCCCTCTGGTCTCAAACAACAACAAGCCTCAGCTCAGTCCTTCCCGCGGCTTCCGCCTGGGGCGGGCAGACCGGGGCCTGGAGCGGGTCTGGTGAACGCGGAGAACAAGGGGGTCCGGGGCTGGACAGGCCTGCTCCGGACGCTGCCACTCAAGCTGGAAGGGCCCTGGGCTCCCCGAGGATGGGGAGGTCGGGCATCTTGGGGAGAGACACTTCACCAGGAGAAACACTTCATCCGATGGCAAGCGACGCTGCAGGTTTCGTTGTGTGTTCCTTGGGGTCCCCGTGAATATTCGCTGATCCTGCAAAAGCTAGCAAGGCGTTAACAGTGGGGCTCTGGACAAGACAGATACGGTTCCTGCCCTGATACTTTTCTTGGGGGGGGTAGGGTTGGGGTCTTGGGATCGTGCTACGTTGCCCAGCCTGGTCTCGAACTCCTGGCCTCAGGCAGTCCTCTCCGGGATGCCAGGCCTGAGCCACCGCCCCGGCCCCTGGCACAGCTTCCACAGGGACAAGCCCGCGTCCCCAGGAACGCGGAGGGGAAGTGCCGGGCCTGCGGACGTGGACAGCGAGGGCCGCGGGGGAC